ATGGCTAAAATTCCAAACAACACCAGCACCAAATATTGGTGAAGATGTATAGTACCAGGAACTGTCATCCATTGCCATTGGGAATGAAAACTGTACAGTCACTTTGGAAGACTGTGTGGCAGTTTCTTATGAAGCTAAACATACTCTTACCATCCAATCCAGCAATTAAGATCCTATGTATTGTATTAAAAAATTTGACATATGTAAGATGACAATAACTCCAATAAAGACCAAAAAACTAATGTATGATCTTATATGGATGGTTACAGGTATATAGGTATATACATCTAAGAACAGAAATATCTATATGCACGTGTAAATACAAATGTGTGTACGGATATGTAAGAGGCGGCTTCAGAAAATTCGTGGAAGAAATCCATTATCTTTCAATTCCATTTTTCCATGAACTACAGATATTCCTCAGACATAACCAAACATCTCCTGAGATTGCCCAAACCAATGATGAGAAGACAGAGGAAGAAGGGGGCGGGACACCAGGTAAATGGAAACAGAAACCGAGGGCAGAAATGGAGAGAGTGCTGACACATTGTGGGGATTGCAACTAATGTCATAGAATACTCTGTGTATGAATTATTGATTAGAAAACTAATTTCCTATATAAACTTTCACCTAAAGCACAATAAAATGTTTTTTAAAGTCTATTAAAAAATACACTGAAGATATTTTCTGACTTAATTGGTTAGGATATGACCCAGACATCCCACTTTTTAAAAGCAGTCTAGGATTTCAAACCGACTTGAGCAGCAGTTCTGAGTATGGAGTGTGGTTCTCAGACAAACAGCATCAACATCATCCAGGACCTTGTTAGGAATGCAGTCTCATCAGTTCTACCACACCTACCAAATTAGAACCCCTGGTGATGGGACCCAGCAATCTGTGTTTTAACAAGTCCTCCAGATAATGCTAGTGTCCACTCAAATTTGAGAACCACTGACTGAAACTATGAGTTACTAGAGAAGTTTTCATCTATATTCCCCATGATTTCTAGCAAAATGCTTTGTGAATAGTCGTATCTCAATAAACGCTTGCTGAATTTGATGTGATAGTGAATGACAAGGCTGAAATGAGTATAGAGGAACTTGGAGATGACAAACTACTCCAAAGTACTCCAAAGAATTATTTGGAGTTTTTAAACTGAACAGAAAATTTATTTTGAAAGTAATAAAAGAAGTCAGATTACTCAGGAGATTAATAAAAGCATTGTCTTCCCAAAAGGGAGAAATATCAGCTTACACTGTGTTAACTCAACTGAAATATGCATAGCTTACGCAAACTCTTCGATTTGTGTTTAAAAATTAACTCAGTGGTCCTGGGAAGCAATGCCCAGTGATTACAAAGCCCTGCTGTGTGGATCATAAAGGTTTGCTTAGAGAACACAGCCTTAAGGTGGAGGCTGTGACGTCGCCCAGGTCTGATGAAGATGGCCAGATTTTCAAAGAACATCCTCTAGGTGGCAAATGGGAAGACAAAGCTCCTACACTGAGAGGGAGCTGATCAATGTGCCTACTGAACAGAAAAGAAAACAAACAAATCCATTTTTATGCAACTGCTTTTTGAGGAGTTAAATGGCTGAAGACACTCTAAGATTCAAGATACCATCCCCCACCTTAGCACAAGCCTTTTCTAATTGGTACCCAGGAAGATTTCAAAGGAACAAGCTGTTACTTTGGTATTGTTGACTTAAAGGTTATCTAGTCATAGTGAGGCAGAGGAGAATTCATCTTCAAAATTCACCTCCTCATTGAAAGCTCAAAGAGTGTCTTGGCAATTAACAATTCCTATCACCTCTAGCCATTCCCTATGTGAGAAGGCTCAGAACTCGCCTTACAAATTGCTCTTTTGAAGATCAAAGAGAGGCTGAATGTGTCTGTATGTGCTCTCGATGAGACTGTAATTTAATGGAATTTTTAGAGAAGGCTTCAGCTTGGCTGGCAGTGTTTGGATGACAGCCCCGAGGCAGAGGATTCAGGGGAGCTTGGCCACTCTTCCCTTTGGAGCATCTTCCCTGCCTTTAATTGGCACCTCATTAGAAATTAATGAAAATGACATCCTCTGTTCTTCCTGCTCTAGGCATCAAATGCTACAAAAAGGCCCATCACAATTCATAACACATTCAATTTATATAGCAATGGCTCTTAAGCATTATTTATGAGATATGAATTCTTGTCAGCAGTTAATAACCTGTACAGAGTGGAAGGGGAATGGAAAAAAAGACTGTAGGGAAAGAAAAAGAAAATATATATACACACACACATATCCCAGCGTGGCGCTGTAGGATAAGCACTGGGCTGCTAACTGAACAGTCAGCAGCTCAAACCCACCAGCTGTTCCTCAGAAAGCCTATACAGGGAATCAATGGCACTAACAGCATACGCATACACAAACCTATAAAGGAAGGTTTTCTCAGTGGAGAAATACTGAGTTCAATCTACCTTTCTGAGTGTTCACTTTCAGTAGTAAATTACTGTGCCCCTTGCCCCACCCCCCAAAAAAACACCTTTCAGAACAGTTAAATGACTCTCCAGCATTCAATGCATCCTTACAGAAACAGCTCCTTTCCTAAAGAGACCCAAGCAGACAGGCAGGAGGAACACAAGAGCTATTTGTCAAAGACAGTCCCAGAGGTGCATGTTCTCACTGCTGTCCTTCATCTTTTAAAGTGTGGCACTTGACTCAGTCATTGGACTTCCAGCTATCTGTAGAAATAATATATCGGCAGACACTAGAGAAAATTCGGAGACTTTTTGTTTTCTTCCCCCCAGCAAAAAAAGTCGAATCTCACTAACTAGTAGAAATTCTAGACTGGGCATAAACCAAGGGACTACATTTAGATCACTGAAAAGGAATGTATATCAGAGGTGAACACAAAGTAGTAGGTGTCTAGAAATCTAGTTTCATGTACAAGAAGGCAACTAGTACAACACACAAATCTGCACTTACCACAACTAAGTTGGTTTCATTTAGGAGCAATGAAGTCATCTAACAAGTATTTCTAGATTCTTCCAGTTACGCATTAAAACCTTAGGAAATGAGATGGTTTATATCAAAGATGAAGACTAAACTGGGAGACCTGGTTCAATACCACTGGGTCTCACAGCACTAAACTGTGAATTCTCATTGCTTGCCTGACAAGAAGATGTGGTGTTAGCTACTGCCAGAGGCAAGACAGCACACTTGATAGACCAATTGCTTGATCCACTATGGCAAATCCTATGTAATACCTAGGATTCAGTTACTCTCAAGATGGAAACAAGAACATAAGACAAAAGAAAATCCCACGATTCTAATTTAGGAACCAAAGGCCTGGGTTATAAAGGCAACAGGCAAAGGGACCAGGTAGGCTTTGCTTCACAATACAGTTAACAGAACTGCTCAACTCCCCAACAGTTTAAATGAAGACCAAAGCAAGAATGAGCAGAATACAAAAATTACACAAATCCTTCAGCCTCAAGAAAATTGGTTAGCCACCAGACCCCACAGTTTCCTTGGTTTGGTACTGTATCCCTTCCCTAAACATCAAAGACAATTCTAATTTAACCTGTCGGGGGTTTCCTAACTAGATAAAACGTAGTCTAAGAATAAGATTCTGGACTCACCTGACTCATAATGAATGTCAATGAAGCCTGAATACTATTGGCAACCTCTGCTCCCATCTCTTACCCTAGCCTCCTTCTTGCACTTTCTCTTTAGTATTTAATAGTAGAAATAAACACCAAGCTAAAAACAAGTAAGACACCTGAACTCCCTATGCTTCTTGTTGTTGTTATATGCTGAATCAGTTCCAATTCATAGCAACCCTATGTACAAAAGAATGAAACACTGCCTGAGCCGGCACCATCTTCACAATGTAAGTCCATCTTGTTGGAGGTCTTCCTCTTTTTCATTGGCCCTCCACTTTACTAGGCTCCCTATGCTGCCTGTTGATTCAGTTGGATAACTCTAATCTTGTTGCGTATCACACACACAAGTATGCCCATAACAGGAACAAGAGTTCCTGAAACTTCTTACATCTTATTTCTAACAGGTCAGCAAAGGCTGTCTTGTCAGTAGATCGAGGATTCCCAGTGATTGCAACATTACAACTGCTATACAAGCGATCTAGTCCTCACTGTTAATCACAGTGCCTGGCTATCCCAAAGGTGAAAGGGGTCTCAGGTCTCAGGGCTTATTCATCAGGATGAAGCATGGAGGGTTCTCAGAGGCTAGAGTCAAGCCTCATAGCTGACCTGTTTTATGCCACAGAACCATTCAGGATACTATGCTTTAAAATTAGGAAATAAAAACAAGGACTAGAAGAACTTTTAAGTCAGCCTAAGACAATGCAGCTACACAATTTTGCTCCTATATGACATGCTGTATGTGGTCAAGGAAAAAGAAAGGACTGGCCTAAGTTTTGTTCTGCTGTGGGAAGGAATAAAGTTTTTAAAAATGCATCCCTGTGCAGCAATTCTAAGAGTTGGTAATACATTAGAGAATACAGAAAGAAAGGTTCAAGTTATTTCTAAGGTGTTAACTGATTGAATTATGATTCAAAGAAAATAATTTTCTAATAAAACCTTAATTTGAAAGGGATATGGGGGAGCAATCTTCCATTTATCACAAACAGTAAGAAGCTCATTCCAAAACGATTTAATATCTTAATTTTATGGTACATAATCCACAATTTAGCTGGTTTGGTTAATTTCTATACCAGTCATCAACGGGAGTGGACCAGAGAACATGTGGTGGGAAAAACTGCAAGCAGTAACCAGTGACTATGTTAACTCTAAAGAAACACTGTATTAAAAGTAACAGGGGTACCCTTTTGAACTTTTTTGGTGTACGTGATATGAACTGAAGGGTGTCTCCGGCTGCAGACCTCCCACTCAGCTTCAGTGAGGTGCTCCGGGGAAGGAGGAAGGATGTCAGGGATACTTTACAGAATGTTACCACGGTGGTGAGGACACAGTCTCCGTCATGTCCCTAAGGGAGTTACTTACCACAGCGACATGATCCCAATTCCTGCTGCACCAGCTCCAGTTTCGTTTGGCACTGGAAACACCGACGTCGACTCTTCTGTTTCGATCGACTTGTTTCCTCGGACCGTTCGGTACTCTCCAGTAGTCGTGGCCGTTTCACTGGTGAAGCCTCGTTTTCAGAGTGTGAATCTGACAAAAATACATTTGGGAGTCAGGGTTAGTGCCTAGCCTGGCAAGCACAGCTGATTAGCATACTGCCAGGCATTCTACCAACTGGGCTGCTGTCCTTTTCCAGGATTGGATGTAAGAGCAAACTCTGATTCCACTACACAAGCATGCACCTTTAGGGCTGACTTCTAACAATCTAGACTTGAGTGTCACTAAAACCAACCAAACAAACAAACAAAAAAAACCCCAGCTCTACAGTCTTTTTAAAAAATAATCTTCAGGAGGAAACCATTTCAGCTGGAGGTGGGATTCACTTTGTATCCCTTGATTGAGCACTGTTTACTGCTTGTATTTGTTATGTATCTCTTCTTGGGGACTGTCTTCAAGCAGACTGTAATTTCTTAGAAAAAGGGACTATGTCTGTTTCTTCCCATCACTCCGTCTAGCACAACTTAACACCCAAAGCCAGCGCTTGATAGGTGGTCCATAAACTTCTCTAGGAAAAATACTCATTAAAAAAAAAAAAAAATCCAAACACAACACACAAAAACTAAGTTCTAAAATAGGAAAGTATCCAATTGCATTCAAAAGCATAAGAGTTTCTGCTTGTTTACAAGTAAGCTGTCACATAACCTCCATTTTGGGGTGGTACAGATGTAGCAACACCTGGAACCACGACCCTCAGGCTGGTGCCAAATTGGCAAGTCAAAGGAATAGAGTAGTAGACAACCTGCAATATTCATAACCTTAAAAAAAAACAAAAATGCAAAAAAGTTCATGTCACAGGCAGATTCTAAATAAATCTAGACTTGAAAACAAAGGCAGTGCTTGGAGCTCTATTCCTGGAAAGCCACCATTGCACACAGCTATTCCTCCGGCCAAAGTGGCACAGTGGTTTGTACTCAAACCACATCTAAACAATCTTCAAAATACATTCAGAACCCACCCCTTCTAAGAATCCTAGCCACTACCCACTCTGGTCTAAGCCATGACCATTTCTTCCACCCAATACAATAATCTCTTAATTGGTTTCCCTGCTACACCCTTGTCCCTACAGTTTCTCCCCACAGCAGCCAAAGTGATGTTAAAAATCAAGTTTGAATCAAGTCACTTCTCTGATCTAAAACCCTCCAATAGCTCACCTCAGAGTAAAAATCTAAATACTCAGCATGAGCCTCAGGAAAACCTCTAGTTCCCTCCCTCAACTCCACCAATCTCTCATCTCATCTCTTGCAATTTCTGCCCTCTGCTCCATCCACACTAACCTCCTTCCTATCTCCCACCTCAGGGGCTATGTACCTTCTGTTTCCTCTGTCTGGAACAGTTTTCACCCAGATCTATACAGGATCTCACCTCTTTTAAGTCTGGTCTCAAGTCACATTTTCAATGAAGTCTTCTCTGACAACCCTATCTAGGCATCTGGTTTGTATTCTTCCACAGCATTTGTCTTTCCCATGATCCCTAAAGACAAGTGTAAGCTCCAAGAGGACAGAAGTTTCACCTGCTTTGTTCACTGGTATGTCCCATGCCTACAACTCAACAAGTATTTCTTGAATGAATGAATCTTCCAGACTGTGTGTATTTTCTTTTCAAGTGGCTGTAGTGAGAAGCAGTAACCTGCTGGATGAACTTTACTGAAGTCTGTGCATCCCTGACTCCTTTTCCTCAGTCTCCATTTGTGTGAAGAAGATGCTGCACTTCAAGAACACTCACCTGCCCCAACAGTAAGGATACAGTTCCCCAATCCAACTGCATTGTGCACTGACAGAGGGCACGCACCATTCATTCTTGCATCTCATATAATTCTTCAAGTCCTACATGACATTTCCCCCTGTACAAACTAACTAAACTAGGCCTTTGATGAAAACAATTGGAACAAAAGTTCAGCCTATTTCCCAGCTCTGCTGAGTGAAGCTGTTTAGATCTGGTCTGTGTGGACACCCAGGAAGTCACAGATGTGCCAGACCCCTTCCCCCTTACTCTACAAGAGCAACAATCTAAATGTAAATTCTCACAAAGCAGCCAGACCAAAGGAGTTGACCTTGTATGAACCACACACTGCTCTAAGGGTGGGATGGGGTATCTTGTTCCAAAACCCAACAATGGAACTATTAACATTAACAACCATACTTAGATATACATTTTGTGTGTGTACTAACAAGAAGAGAAAAACTTAAAGTAAAACCTGTAACAACAACAAATACTTGATTGAGATAAGGTGCTAAATTTGGAATATCTTTCTAAGGGTGCCAGGAGGGTGTATGTTCTACACAAGGTGGGGGAGGGAACCTTGAAGCTTTGTTATAACAGATATTATTAAAATCTAGGACTTGAGATGATGCCAGGTTCTCTCTCCACCCCACCGCCCCCAGGACACTTGGTGAAACGAAATTACCTTGACAAAGCAAAATTTACTACTGAAGGAGGGTGCTGCGCATAGCCATGCATATAGGAACAGAGCCAGTGAGCACACACAACGAATGAGCAGTCCACTTGGGTTTTTAATCCCTGACAAGTCTTAAAGCTGTGTCTCACCCCATTGGCTAGGGCTTTGACCGCACAATCTTTTCCCTTACCCGGTTGGCTAGTTCAAGTTTCTAAGGTACGCATTCCTATTTTAGGAAAGGAAAAAGAAAGATCGCAAAGTTCCTGCTGTCTTTGGGAAATAGTCAAAGAAAAAGAAGTGAGATCATAAAGCCTTTACTCACTTCAGGAAGTTGTCAAAGAAAAAGAGACCATAAAGCCTTTACTTCTGGAAAAAGTAAAAAAGAAAT